GTAGTATACTACTACTACTACTACTAACGTAACAACGTAAGTAACGTACTACTAGTAGTATACTACGTATACGTACTACCGTACTTACTTATATAGTATATATATATATATATATATATATATATATATATATATATATATATGTACGATCCTGCTCTATGATGCCAAAATGATTTCTGATGAACCATAGACCATGTTATTATTATATGCATGTAGGTGGGAAGGCAAGGGTAGTGAGCTACTAACTGGGCTTTTAGCTCATTCTTCTTATTTTTCCATCTGTGTAGAGTGATAACCAACCCTTCTTTAGGGGGCAACTGGATAGTGGTGGTAGGCGGCTGAAGCTTGGTACTGATCAAGGAACTTTTTGATAGTAGGTGTTGAGTGGCGGTACCACAATGTTGTTTTGTTGTAATATTGTCGTGTTATTGTCAGGCCGGTAGTGCCTTGGACAGAATTGTAAAGACCCCTTAGAGATTTTATATGTACATAATGGTTTTAATTTGTGCAGTATTATGTTGCTTGATGAATGAGTTTTTATTTTTTTCGTGGTTTGTTTTGATTCCGCATTTCTAAACACGTGGACCCACTCCCACCTGAGTGACGATCGCGACCTCTGGTCGCGATCCCGCACTCTGTTGCCCTCCGACTGTTATGGTAGGGGTGAGGGGGCGAGGTCGTGATAGAAACCCTTGGTATCCTCAAAGTTTGCTCACTCCAAAACTTCTCTAGATTTATAGTGGGTTCTCCAATTCGCAATACTGATGCCCTAGATTTAGCAGTTTCTCCTTTGGATATAACCTTGACCTTCTCTAACTTTATTGAACCTGCACCAATCTCGTCCACCTGAGTTTAGCCCAAGTTTCAGATCCATTTTTAAGTAAAATCATCAATCAATTAAAACCCATCTCCCAAAAACCATCAAGTTTCTCTGAATTCTCTCCCTATTCAATATTGGTTCAGTTTTAGGAAGGGTTTCTCTGACCCCAACAATGGCTGTCTCTAAATTTGAGGGATCAAAGCAATAATATGCCACATGTAGCTTGGTTGTAGGTTATGCTCTATGTTCTAGCTTACTTGTTGTCATTAAATAGTATGCCATTACTGAATTCAATTTCCTTAGCCTATTAACTGCATTGCAATACCTCACCTCCACTTTGGGTGTTTGGGTTTTGGGGAAGTTATGGTTTCTTCACCATGATCCGTTCACCATGATCCGTTCTCCTTTGAAACTGCAAAGAAGTTCTTGCATGCTGCTACTGTGTTTTACCTTACAATTTTCATAAACACCAACCTTTTACGCCATGAGAATGTTGATACCTTAATTGTGTTCAGGTCTCTCACTCCCCTTCTTGTTGTCATTGCTGATACCACTTTTAGGAGGCAGCCACTTCCATTAAACCTCATTTTCACTTCTCTTGTTATTATCTTGGTTGGTGCAAATAGGTGTGTGGCCACTGATTCAGCTTTTAAATTGACTGCTTATTCTTGGGCTTTTACTTATTTGATAACCATCACTACTGAGATGGTCTATATCTCTTGTCTTTGGTTATGGCCTCCTTCTTCTGGTTTATCACTGGGTAGTACATTGAAGTTTTTACTGCGGTTCAAGGATCTAATTCTGGTTTTTGGATTGGGTCCAGAGCCTTTTTTTGCAGTTGGGTTATCTTGTGTTTTTTGTTTAGCAATAAGTTTCTTTGGATTTGCGGCGAGAAGTTAGCCATAGCTTTTGGTTTGATCGCTACAAGCAATTGCGATAAGATTTATGTTGTGGAAAAAACCCTCGCATATGTGGAGATTGTCATTTGGCCATGAAAGCTATCTCTAGGATCTTTTGATAGGGAAATTATTATTAGAGATCAAGTGCAATTCCACCACTTCATAAATGGTTCTTGCTCGTGAATGGATTATTGGTGATCCATGGAGTCAAATGCTGATTTTTTTTGTTGTTGGCTCTTCCAAGTGCGCCTCATGTTTGATGATTGAATTTCTAGATCCTGGTTGATGATTAAGTTTTTTGTTACTTGATCTTGTTTAATGATTGAGTTTTCCATTACTCAGTTCTATTGGATGATGAAGTTTTTCGTTACTCTATCCTGTGTGATGATCGAGTATTTCATTACTCAATCTCGTTTGTTCCTGAGGCCTCCTGTTGTTCCCACCAGATGTTCTAAAGGCCTGTCTGTTCTGTTGTTGATCGGGTTTTTCGTTACTCGAATCCTGAGGCCGTCTGTTCTGTTGTTGATCGAGTTTTCATTACTCGATCTCAGATGTTCCTCAGGCCGTCTACTTCGGTTCCTAAGGTCTGCCACTTTTCTATGCTTGTTGTTCAAGCAATCTGAAAAATTTGAAGATCACTGCTCGTTTGGCAACTTAATATTGTTCAAACTTCAGCTGCTTTGTGTCAAAGCATCTTAAGTTTGAAGGGAAGTATTAGGATATGGATATCTCGTGTTAGTAGTGATATAATTGATTATGGATACATATCAGTATGTAATAAGATTAGGATATGTATCATATTGATACATATCATCTGTATGGTTACTTATTGATATACTTGATTATGGATACCTATCAATATGCCTCTTGATAAGATTAGGATATGTATCATACTGATGCATATCATCTGTATGGATACATATCTCTTGATAAGATTAGTTGGTGTTTATCCATAACTATTAGTATTTATTTTTAACTGTTACTGGCCGTATATTTATACGAAGTTTTGTATATTCTTGATTAAGAAATTTAATAGAGTTCTCTGCAGTATTCTAAAATAATTTTCCATGGGGTCCTAAGGCCCAAATATATAGAAATACAGTTTCTAACATGATCCACATGCTTCTTGGTACCTGCGGGCCTCGGTCGCGATTGACTTCCTCCTTATTCACCTCGGGGATACAAGTGTTGAAAAATACCTGAAAATAATGGCCTATAAAGTTTTAAGTAGGCCTAGCAATCCGATGCTCTACACATTAGGCCGCTCATTGTACAAAAATTAGATCTCTTACGATCCAATGTCAGAAATATTAGACTGCTCGAAACTTTTTTTTTTTTAAAAAAGAGTAGTTTGTAGTAGTCCAATACTATAGACAATACCAAAGTGATGTTTCGCGCAGTTTGATGAGAGCTATCAGACAATACCAAAGTGATGTTTCGCGCAGTTTGATGAGAGGAACATCAGGCCAAAATTTTGGGCTTACATGAAAGGTGGCTATTGGCTTAATGAAAACCCCTTTCTTGCACTATATTGGTATTTGGAAGCCATTCTTTATAAGCTCTATGAGAACCACGAGGCTCTAAGGTCGAAAATATTTCTCGGGGGTTTATTACCATTTAATGATCTTTTTTCCATAAATTACGAGGACCACTCCCACCATCCCCACGGTGATCGGTGTTTCAGACAACAAACATAGATTTTTTGTCATTTATTTGTCCAGTATTGCTGATTCTAGACATTAGGTAAGACTAACCTGCTAGTTTTTCATGTTTCCTGATGAGTCTCTGGAATGCCCCAAAACTCTTTCCATTATTTCTTTTCTTCTCTTTCTCGCACTCTCTATCCCCTCTCTCTCACTATCCCCTCTCTCTCACTATGGAGCAGCTATTTGAAGCTCCACATTCGCAGGCATTTGGCCATCTATTGGGTGCTAATCAGGTAGGTATAATATCCAGAGACTTTTCTATTATTTTTTTGAGGTTTCCATCATTTTTGCACCCACTGAATCAATGACTCTAGGGCTTTGATAGTTAGTCCAATCATTAAGAAATTCTCGCAAATGTATAATGGTTGTGTATTAATTTGGGGAAAAATACGAGTAATGGCATATTCGCGTTTTGGGGCTAAAAAACCTAATATTTGGATAATAAAACCACTTAAATGATAAAATATTTCTACATTTCGATAGGTCTTTGCTAGTTGGATGAATTACGAGTATTTTAGAACAAATTCGAAGCTTTTTTGCTGAGATTTAAAGTAGAACAAGAAAGGATGGTGGATTGGGATTTTTTGTGCTTGTTTTACTTTGTTAAAATTATTCTACTACTTTTGCCCCATTTTTCTCATGGACCCTTCATGGTTGTTCAACTCCTATTTTTAGTACGATGGATTCCTCTATGAATTGTGCTTATGGAATAGCTAAAATATTTTTTTCTTTTGAAGTGACTTTTATAAGGTTCACCATCTTGTTGAGATTGATGAAGTTTGAGAATTTGAAAAATCTTGTCTACTTTTACAAGATAACTATATTGCTAACAATTGGAGAAGGGGTGCATTCCAGGGCTTATAATATTTCATGCACTTATTTATTTTGTTTAGCTTTTGCTGTAAATTTATAGGCAGGAGTTAAACTTGATGCTCATTGCACGTATTTTTCCCCAAATTAAACCTAATGTTCATTTTTATTGATTTCATATGAAAATAGGACAACGTGATGTTTTCGTTTTAGGCACTTTAGCTTCACATGGTTTTCTCCATAAATGTTTTAAATTGGCCTAGAAAGCATCTGCTCTCTACATTGTCTTTATGACTATCAAGTTCATGTTTATATGACAGCTCTAACATATTTGAAAATATAGGATTGCAAATAAATGTTTATGCATATTTTAAAACTTCGTAGGAATTTTTGTTGATGGCTTGGTATATAGGCTTTGCTCCCTTATATTTCGTGATAATATTGAGAAGCTTTTGGGCAAGTTCAATTGATAAGTAGTTGTTATGCAGTAGTTGTGTACTGTATTTCTTTTTTTCATTGCAGGAGAAGCCTAAGATTAACATTTATGTGGGTTTTAACAACACTAGACATTGGCCCCTTAGTGGGGACTAGCAAGATCTAATTCGAAAAAAGTGGCTATGGCCTCTTGTTGAGTATGCTACTATGGAGGAGACGACACGACATATTGACCACCCTCTTATAGAGGCAGTAATAGAGAGATGGCACCTAGAGATGAACTTGATGCACTGCCCACGACATGTTTGTGAGATGATACCAACCTTGTATGATATGTGGCGTACTCTTTGGCTCAGAGTAACAGGTGAGCTGGTATTGACACGGAAATGCAAACCCCATGAACGTTACCATTTATGTTGTTTGGGAGGCTACCAGATAGAGCGTAATCGTAACCTTCATATAATCAAGTTCACTTAATTGAGACGAACATTTATGTGTCTACCAGATAACCCTATACAATTACAAATCAAGCAGAGCACTAGGTAAGCCCGACACTTTCATAGCCTCTAGGATGCACCCCTGTACTTCCATAATGTCGTCTGATAAATCAAGTGCAGACAATGCTACTTCGATTAGTTTTATCTAAATCTTGTATAGCCGAACAAGACTCTGGAATGTACCCCTGCGATTCTAGATTCTAGAATGTTTTCCAGTAAACCAACTGCTGGACATCATTACTTCAATTAGTTCTGTCCAGCAGTTGTATAGCTGGACATCACTCTAGAACGCACCCCTACGTTTCTTTGAAGAGTGTTGTTCGGCACGTAGTACACCAAACAACATTCTGAAACACACAAACACATTGGGAGAACAAAAATCAATGCCCTAACAACTCAACAAGGTTGTTAGATTCCAATGAAATGCTGAAATATGTCATCCATGTAGGCAAAAGCAAAAGTAATACCTCAATAATAGGGCAGAGAATTTTTCGATTTGCCACCCCGCCCCCACCCCCCAATCGTCTCTTTCTCTCTTATTTGTACCTATTCACCTATGTATTTAAGTTCTCAATATTCTCATCGGTTTTGTGTGGTTTCTACATGGGTTTGATAGGCGGTTCTGCCTCTTTCACTCTCTAGAACTATACAGCGGTTCAAGACATGGGGTTGCAACTGTCAACGTGGGTTTGGGGTCTGTGAGGTGAAGAAGAGAGGGAAACAACATGTGGTTTTTACATGGGGCTGCAACTTGCAACTTGCAACTTCTCTTTCTAAACTATAAGGAGGTTCAAGGTATGGGGCTGCAACTTGCAAAGTGCGTTTGGGGTCCATGGGGCTGCAACTTGCAAACTAGGTTTGGAGTCCATGAGGTGAAGAAGAGAGGGAAATAACTACCAACTTAAGACCATGCCTCTTAACCTTGTGAACCAGAAAAATTCAACAAAAAAGAAACACAATCTTGCAATCTAAACAGCTATTAATAATAATAGAAATTAAAAACAAATGAAGAACATACTTAAATCTCTTCAGTGTCATGAAGGGATAGAACAAAACATGACTTCAAATTGAGGCTATCAGTGAAGATACATGAATCTCTTCAATGGTATTAAGGGATAGAGCAAAACATGGCTTCAAATTGGGGCTACTGTTTGACTTCAAATTGGGACTACCAATGAAGAACATACCTGAATCTCTTCAATGGAGAGATTCAAATCTCTCCACTAACTTCACTGATATACCATCAAAGTATTCAAATACATAAGTATTTTTCTCAAACCAAGAAACACCATCCAAATACATTAGTATTTTTTTAGACCAGATACATCAATTTACATAGCCACAACATTGAGACTGAAGCCATTCAGGGAAATCACTAGTGCCCCAAGCCCACTAGGACAGTGAAGGCCGAACAAATGATCGAGCAGCAGTTGCTCCGCTGAATGTCAGAGGCAGTGTACTATCGATTGATCCTCTACAGTTCCTCATGTTGTGCCCTTCATCACCGCAACATGTGCATTAGTAACCCCCGGTGTTTGTGGCTTATGTCCGTCTATGCAACTTCTTTGGCCTAACTGGGTGTTGATTGGTCTTCGGGGGATATAGAGAGCTCTATTCAAAGCTCCATTCGGAGGTACCAAGTCTGGTACAGGACGAAATTCAGTTGTATAGGTGGTCCTATAAGCTTGAATAGTGAACGGCTCATAAAAGTTTGTTATTTGGAGGCGATAGTGGTCTGTAGCTGCAATTGTATGGGTAAATGGCAACTCGTTGTTCCACCACACCCTACAAGTGTAACTACGGGCATCTAGATCTATAGTGTGCGTCATCTCCTCATGGATCCTATAGTTTCTGCCCGCGACCCATACAACATGATGCATAAACCTTGACTTTCAATTTGTTCAGCTATGACTTCTTGTGCTTTAGGCACTAGAACACCAGCCTACATTTCAGCTTGCAGCCGATGCATAGCAAATCTCTCCACTAGATTTATTTTGATGCCTTCCCACAACACAATGAGAGGCTTGTCACGATCCTCTAAAATCCAACTGTTAAACTGCTCATATGTATTTGATGTAAGATGATCATACCTCTTACCTTAGAATAAACATTCACTCAATATTCTTTTCCTTGTTCCATTATCTATTAATAAGCCCCTTCATCTATTTCTTTAATTTTCAACATCTATTCCTCGAACCCCTCAGTAATTACTGTGCGCGTGGAATTCCAAAACTTCTTTATGAATATTATGCTCTTCTAAGTTCTCTTGAAGTTATGTCGCATGCAATGCACTAGATAGGATCCTGGGTATACACGTTGAATTGCAATTTGTAAACCCTTCTAACGATTTGATACAATTGTCAAACAAGGAACGCTATCTACCTGCTGATGAAGCACATCATTCAAGCTCTCTAGGAACCATGTCCAACTTTCGATGTGCAAATTCTAAACTACTGCAATTGCCCTTAATATGTTCTCTTCAAGAACGTTCCATCTAAACATAATAGTCACTCACAATCATACAAAACTACATTGAGGCATGGATGGTAACAGAGAAAGAGATGCTCAAATCTACACAACTCATTGGTTCATATGTAGGATATAGTTCCAGGGTACGTTTCATTCAGTTTCTCAAGATAGAAGGTTAGCTCATTAAATGATTGCGCTTCTGACCTTAGGATCATTGCCCTTGCAACTTTTTTGTCATGCCAAGCATGCAAGTGTGATAATAGGACCCCATAATTATGCTAAACATCATTTGCAATATCTTTAGAATTGAGGTCCATCTGGCCTTTTAATCGAGCTTTAATTTTTTTTGCAACCCATTAGGTCCCTACAAATGGTTGATGCTCCTTGTCAATTGGTCCTTTGTAAGTGTGCTCATTTATCAATTCTCACCCCTTGAAGGTTTTTGTCGTTTCGACGTTGGAGCATCACATGCCACAAGTGCGATCAGTTGTCCTTTACAGTATGCAATCACTTTTTCTTGATCATTTCTATTATACGTCAACACAAAATTATGATATATCGTATAATTAACTAATTGATTGTGTAACTCAACAATATCGAAATCATGTTCCATGATTAGGTCTGCTCTTGGATGTGTTGATATGTACGGGATCTTTAGGGGCACCATGTCGTATTCATCCCGTTCCATTAGTGGCTCATCCTTAGATTCGGTCTCTTGCTCTGCAACTGCATTACTCCTTCCAAGGACGCTCATTTATATAGTAGGGCAGTTGTGAGAAAACATTTCGAGCATTTAGTAGGCATTAATTCACATGTAGGTCAATATATGTCAAGGAAAAAAATATAGTTAAAATATAATTTGGTATTAGCAGCAATGTATAATTTCCCGAAATTTACTCATAATTTGATTTCATTCAGTAAGTACTAAGACAATTGCAATAATATGATGCATAATTGAAGGTCTTTCATCACATCAACCGATCTCTTGCGGATGGAGCATAGGTATGTTCAAAAGGCTGATGCTCCCCTGGATTTGGTTGAGATGCCTGGTTTGTGACACATACATATACATTGGAAGCCATCATCATCATACACGTTACATCCTGATCATCTCGTAAATCAACTAAATTGATTGTTGGGTCCTTTTTTTGATACATAATTTTCAAATTGCTAGGGTCAGAGCTCAATATAAACCCCATATGAGCTTTTAGTTGTTGTAGCACGTTGCCCCTATTATGTAGTGTGGCTTTTAAATTCCCCTCTTTGTAAGTTGTATATTTATCATTGTGATTATGCTCAAAATAACCACCTATGGAAAATCAACAATCTCACACCACTCGTGCTCAAAATAACCACATATGGAAAATCAACAATCTCACACCACTCGTGGCCATAAATCAATTTGGTGAGGAGTAAAACATCAACAAAGTCCACATAATTAATAGAGATTTCTTATTTTATGTCAAACATTTATTCAGAAAAATAATAATAAGAAAAACGATTAGCATGTTCAAAACTATGTATAAGAGATTACTTACTGCAATCTATAAATTTTCAATTAGTCATCAACTCATAAAATTATTCTGGTATCCATGTTAATTATAGTAAGAGTACAAAAAAGGGAGCTAGGCTATGGACATTGGTCGAATTTCATGAGTTGATCTCATTTTTAAATTAACACTTAATATTATCATTGAAAATAAGAACAAAAAAAAGAGCCAACTATTGGATTGAAATTTTACATGCCAAAAAAAAAGTAAAACAAGCATGAAAAACCCCAATCCGTCATCCTTTTTTGTTCTACTTCAAATCTCAACTAAAAAGCTTCAAATTTATTCGAAAATACTCTTAATTCATCCCATTAACAAAGATCTATCGAAATGTATAAATAGTTTATCATTTAAGTAGTTTTATGATGCAAATATTAGTTTTTTTATCCCCAATCCGCCATTACTGCTATTTTTCCCCAAATTAATACACAAGCATTACACATTACTGAGAATTTCTTGATGATTGGACCAACTATCAAAGCCTTAGAGTCACTAATTCACTAGATGCAAAAATGATGGAAATCGCCAAAAAAATTAACAAAATGAATCGAAAACACTGCTTTAGACTGCGGCTCTATTGAGAGAGAGCTCTGGGTAGAGAGAGAGAGAGAGAGAGAGAGAGAGAAGAAAATAAATAATGGGAAGAAGAGCCTGATCGGATTTTGGGGCATTCTAGAGACCTATCTGATAACCCAAAAAAATACATGTTAGACTTACCTACTGCCCAGTATCCACAATACCAGACAGAGAAATGACAAAAAATCTCTGTCTAGTGTTCGAAACACCAGACATAGTGTGTGCTTTGCTAAAATAATAGGCCCTCCTATCCGACGTTGTTATTGTTGGACAAGACGGTAACTTAGGAAAAAAAAAAAGCCGTCGGGTGATCCTTGGAAAAAAGATCATCAAATAGTAATTAAACCCTGAAAACGTGGCCATACGTAAATTTCTCTATTTTAATTTTTGGTCCCAAAATCTCTAGTAATTACTCATGAGAGCCTATCTTCATCCCTAATCCTCTATGATGAAACATTTTATACAATTACCCT